TATTGAAAAAGAAAACCAGAGCCGGGGGCATCACAATGCCAGATTTCAGGTTGTACTACAAAGCTGTGGTCATCAAGACGGTGTGGTACTGGCACAAAAACAGACACATAGATCAATGGAACAAAATAGAGAACCCAGAAGTGGACCCTCAACTTTATGGTCAACTAATATTCGATAAAGGAGGAAAGACTATCCACTGGAAAAAAGACAGTCTCTTCAATAAATGGTGCTGGGAAAATTGGACATCCATCCACATGCAGAAGAATGAAACTAGACCATTCTCTTACACCAGACACAAAGATAAACTCAAATTAGATGAAAGATCTAAATGTGAGACAACAATCCATCAAAATCCTAGAGGAGAACACAGGCAACACCCTTTGAACTTGGTCACAGCAACTTCTTGCAAGATACATCCATGAAGGCAAGGGAAACAAAAGCAAAAATGAATTATTGGGACTTCATCAAGATAAAAAGCTTCTGCACAGCAAAAGAAACAGTCAACAAAACTGAAAGACAACCTACAGAATGGGAAAAGATATTTGCAAATGACACATCAGATAAAGGGGTAGTATCCAAGATCTATAAAGAACTTATTAAACTCAACACCAAAGAAACAAACAATCTAATCATGAAATGGGCAAAAGACATAAAGAGAAATCTCACAGAGGAAGACATAGACATGGCCAACAAGCACATGAGAAAATGTTCTGCATCACTCGCCATCAGGGAAATACAAATCAAAACCACAATGAGATACCACCTCACACCAGTGAGAATGGGGAAAATTAACAAGGCAGGAAACAACAAATGTTGGAGAGGATGTGGAGAAAGGGGAACCCTCTTGCACTATTGGTGGGAATGTGAACTGGTGCAGCCACTCTGGAAAATTGTGTGGAGCTTCCTCAAATAGTTAAAAATAGATCTGCCCTACAAACCAGCAATTGCACTGCTGGGGGTTTACCCCAAAGATACAGATGCAATGAAACGCCAGAACACCTGCGCCCCAATGTTTCTAGCAGCCATGTCCACAATAGTCAAACTGTGGAAGGAGCCTCAGTGTCCATCGACAGATGAATGAATAAAGAAGATTGGTTTATGTATACAATGGAATATTACTCAGCCATTAGAAATGACAAATATCTACCATTTGCTTTGACGTGGATGGACCTGGAGGGTATTATGCTGAGTGAAGTAAGTCAATCAGAGAAGGACAAACATTATATGGTCTCATTCATTTGGGGAATATAAAAATTAGTGAAAGGCAATAAAGGGAAAGGAGAGAAAATGAGTGAAAATATCAGTGAGGGTGACAAAACATGAGAGACACCTAACTCTGGGAAATGAACAAGGGCTAGTGGAAAGGGAGGTGGGCAGGTTGTTGGGGTGACTGGGTGATGGGCACTGAGGGGGGCACCTGGCGGGATGAGCACTGGGTGTAATGCTATATGTTGGCAAATTGAACTCCAATAAAAAGAAGAAAGGATGGGATCTTATCAAAGGGATATAGGAAGCAGCCTGGAAGAGCTTCCCATGGCTAAAGCTGGAATAATTTAAGCAACAAAATGAATACCATAGTATATTGAATAATAACTCAAAAGTATAAAATAAATATACGTGCATTCATGTTAATGTAAATAATAAAAATAACTGAATAAATGAAAAAAAAAAGAATCTCCTGAATGATACGCATAGACATTCTGATTCAGCAGGTCTAGGGTGGGGCCTGGGAAAGGGCATTTCTAGCTGGTTCCCAGGGGAAGTTGCTGCTGCTGGTGGTCTGAGGAACACACTTTGAGAACCATTGTTTCAGTGGTTCTGGCTCTGACTTGCAGTAACAAGAGGATCTCAAATATCTGAATAGCCTATAATTGTTTACAGAACTCTTTCACAGATATTGCAAGCCACTTACTCTCCTGTAAACCCTGCCTTATCATTTCCATTGTTTGTTATGCATCCTCCTTCAGCTGGGTCAGAGCTGGCACTTAGGATGTGGCCAAGCTAAAGAGGTCTCATGCTCATGGTCAGCCCAGCCTTGCTCCCTGAAGGGAAGGGGAAGCGTCACAGACCACTCTCTCAGAGCAAGAGGAAGAGGACCGCATGTGGAGACCAGGCATGTCCCAGCAGTGTCCCCCATAGCTCTTCCCTTCTCCGAACCTCCATCCACTTCACACATAAAAAGGAATAATAAAAATACCTATTCAATACAGAGGATGTTCAACAAAATGGTTTTTAGGAAAATGCCTACCCAGTGATTTGGTATTCAGGATTATGTAGTGACTCTGCCACTTCTCAGACAGTTGCCACTTGTCCTCAGAGCCTAGGCAGCAGCCCCTACTAAAAACACACAGGCAGCCCCAGGAACATAGCTGGCAACTGACCGTCCCCCCACGGGGCCAGCTAAGACCCGTCTCCCAAGCCCTCAGGGGAACATTGCTGCACCTCGGGTGTGCACGCTACTCTACCTGCCACATAAACCACAGAGACATTCCACCCCCAGTGAGCCTGTTTCATAGGGCTGCTTGGAAGCAGAAGAGTGGCAGACATATACACACATAGAAATAAAATAGGAGAAGGAATCTCTCAGTGTCATTTTTCATCAGTTTTTACAAAGCAATTGAAAACCTCTGCTCCTCTCTGTTTTTTGAGACATTCAAACCCCAGGACATTATAACAGATAAGGCCCTTACCTAGTCAAAGCACCATATTGTGTGAGAGGGGACTGAGTGCATGCCTGAGGTCATATAGGCCATCGTGATGGGGCTCCTTTGGCACCAAGGGACCGATTCCAGGGCCAAGCTTCTATTCCCTGCTGCACTGCCTCTCCTAAGGCAAAGTCAGTGAGAATAGCTTGACACACCACAAGGTGAGATTCTCAGAGGAGTCCAAGGGCCTGGATGTATAGGAATGAGGCAGGACATGGCCCCCTGAACCTCACATCAGTAGAACTAGGCAGTGTGGGTGCATTGGTTCATGAAAGGCAGGTTGAGGGGTCCAGAAGTATGCTGGAAGAAGTGGCATGGGGAGCAGGGTGAGGATGGCCAAGGTAGCCAGGAACCCGTATCCTCATGGCCCATCCTCCTATGTCACCACACTGCATGACCATGAGAACTTGGTGGCAGTGGGGGTTTTAGGTTTTAAAAAGGAGTCTTCAGGGGGCTAGGCAGAGTAACTTCTTGCCATGCAAATGTTTACTTTTTTAAAGATTTTATTTACTTATTCATGAGAGACACATGGAGGGGCAGAGACATAAGCAGAGGCGGGAGAAGCAAGCTCCCTGCAGGGAGCCTAATGTGGGACTCCATCCCAGGATGCTGGGGTCATGACCTGAGTTGAAGGCAGATGCTCAACCACTGAGCCACCCAGGTGCCCCCCAAATGTTTATATTTGAACGTGGCCCCAAAAATGTATTTTTGAATATAGCCAAAAAATATGTATTGTAAACCCATTCTTTAATCTCTGCATGGAGAACAAGGTACAGAAGAGGAGGTATGGGCATTAACCTGTACTTTAACACTGGGGAAAACTTGAAATGGTCACAATATGGTGACCTAAGTGTAAAAATGATTTAGATGGAGTTACTCCCAATAACTAAAAGGTGGAAAAAACACAAGCATACAGGCATCCAGTACAGATGAATGGATAAACAAAATGTGGTATATCCATGCAATGGAATATTACTCAGCCTTGTTGTGAACTGCATCCATGTATACCCCCAAAATTCATATGTTGAAGGCCTACCCCCCAGTGTGGTATATTAGGATGTGGAGCCTTCAGGAGGTAATTAGGTCTAGATCAGATCTAGATGAGGTCATGAATATGGAGCCCCCATGAAGGTTGTGTCCTTCTTAGAAAGAAAAAGAGACTAGAGCTCATTCTCTCAGTTATGTGAGGACACAGCAACAAGTTGGCAATCTGCAAGCCAGGGAGTGGGCCCTTACTGGACACCAGCTCTGCAAACACCTTGATCTCAGACTTCCCAGCCTCCAGACTGTGAGAAATTAATGTCTACAATTTAAGCTGCCAGGTCTGTGGTTTGGTGTTACAGCAGTACACAATGGACCAAGACCAGGCTTAAAAGGAGAAGAAATTCTAATACCTGCTAAACACAGATGGACCTTGAGGCCATTATGCTTGAGCGAAATAAACCAGTCACAAAGGACAAATATCATATGATTGCTTTTACAACATACCTAGACTGTCCAAATTCAGAAATAAAGTAGAATGATAGTTGCAAAGTGCTGGGGTTAGAAGAGAAATGGGAGTTCGTGTTTAATGAGGACAGAGCTTTGGCTGGAGAAGATGAAAAAGTTCTAGAAGTAATAATGGTGATGTTTGTACAACAGTGTAAATGCTAATGCCACTGACCTGAAAAGGGGCTCATGATCCCCTTTTAACCTGAAAAGTTAAAATGGTAAATTTCATGTTAGGTATATGTTTTCACAGTTTAAAAAAATAGCTAAGGTTGAATATATTAGTATGGAGTTAGTAAGATTTAAAAGAGCTCTGCAGGGGTACCTGGGTAGCTTAGTCAATTAAGTGTATGACTCTTGATTTCGGCTCAGGTCATGATCTCAGGGTGATGAGATCAAGCCCCATGTCAGGCTCCATGCTCAGCAGGGAATCTGCTTAAGATTCTCTTTTTCCTTCTCCCTCTGTCCCTCACCCTGTGCTCTTGGTCTCTCTTTCTCAAATATAAAAATATTTTTTAAAAAATAAATTTAAAAAGCTCTGTATTGTGAAAGGAATACTCATTGAAATATAGATACTTGCTAAAATGAGAAAAGTTGAAATACCCTCTCCCTTGCAGGAGTCCCCTGGATGCAGGATCTGATGGTCAGCTGGCTGGCAGGTGCCTGTAGGGCCCAGGAGGGCAGCAGCATGCCACAAACAGTTGGCCATGCCTCAGATGCAGCTTCATGTGACAAGAGGGAAAGCCGTCAGCTTCTGTCTGCAAGTAAGGAGAATAATGTGCTCTTATTCTCTGATTTGTCCTCTAGGTGGAAGTGACAAAAGAAGAAGCCTCCCAGTCAAGGCTCCAGTACACAGAGAGAAGGAAGAAGGCGATCTCCTAATTGGTACCATATATATCAGGTCACATAGTTTTCTTACTTTGTAGCAACACCAACCAAAAATTCCACCCAAGTAAGAGCCATGAGCAAGATGGTGTAAAAACGTCACACACCTCCCTGCTTGATCCCCCATCCTCACAATCTTGAACTGTAAATCAGCTTATTTCCACCAGTCTTAACAGACAGAGGGTCTCAGAGAGGTTAGACAGCATGTCACAGGTTGTCAGAGGGGCAGGTTTGGGGCTCAGATTAAGACAGTGTGCCTGGTGCTAAAGCAGCAGCAGTTGTCAGAGCCTCTGTCCCACAGAGCAGAGCATGCGAGTGGTTATCTAGGAAGAAGGAAGAAGGACACTCATCAATAGCATGGGACTTGAACTCACCCCACAGCAGGTAAAGTTAATTACATACTTAATTATATGCTTACTTTATACCAGTATAAAATTTTCCATGGGCTTTTATATCAGTATAAAATTTGTAGTGGGCTCAGCAAACTTTCTGTAATGCTCTAGCTAGTAAATGTTTTTAGTTTTGTGGGCCTTATGGTCTCTGTTTTAATGGCTCAACTCAGCCATGTGCAAAAGCAACCAGAGACAACATGTGAATGAATGAATGTGACTGTGTTCCAGTGCCATTTTATTTACAAAAACAGATGGTAGATACCATTTGGCTCATGGGCCATAATTTGCCCATCTCTTATGTATGCAAACACAGGAATGCATTTATACTTCGTCAGCTATGGCCAGGTATTCACCAGTGGCCTAGCACTGGTTCTCCAATGTGAGCCTCACAGGCCAGGTGCTGGTTGCTTTCCTCCAGCAAAATTGGCTAGTGCATTTTGTGGTCAAGTTGCAGGATGCTTGTTGTATCTTTCTAACCAGGACTACCCTGCCTGGGAAATCTAGCATCTTTATGAATTGTGTTGGATTGTTACTGTGACTACAACGATTCTTGGAGATATTACAGATAGCTTAGCAGTCATTTCAGTAGGTTTGGTACTTCAGTTGACTCTAGATTGCATGGACTCTTTCCTAAGAGCCAAGTGGTGGGTGAGAACCGAGGGAGTGTGTTGGCTCATTAATAAAGCCATAATTGGGATATGGTGGGCAATGCAATTAATTGTGGAGATGTTACATGTTTGGATAACTTGAAAGAGGATTGGGAATCTAGTAACTCCAAATTAATCAATGTGTACGTAGGTGTTTGATTTTTTTAAACTATCCAGTCTATCTTCTTTTTAAAAAATTTTTATTTTAATTCAATTTAATTAACCTATACTACATTGTTAGTTTCAAAGGCAGAATTTAGTGATTCATCAGTGATTCATCACAACATTCAGTCTCATTCCATCAAGTGCCCTCCTTAATGCCCATCACTTAGTTACCCCATCCCCCACTGCCCCAGACCTCCCCTCCAGCAACTTAGTTTGTTTCCTAGAGTTAAGGATCTGATATGGTTTGTCTCCCTCTCTGATTTCATCTTGTTTTATTTTTACTTCCCTTCCCCTGTGTTCAACTGTTTGGTTTCTTAAATTCCACACATGAGTGAAATCATATGGTATTTGTCTTTCCCTAACTAATTTATTTTGCTTAGCATAATACCCTCTAGTTCCATCCATGTCATTGTAAATGGCAAGATTTTGTTCTTTTGATGGCTGAGTAATATTTCAGGGTGTGTGTGTGTGTGTGTGTGTGTGTGTGTGTGTGTGTGTACTTTTTCTTTCTCCATTCATCTGTCAAGGAATATCTGGGTTCTTTCCAATTTTGACTATTGTGGACATTGCTACTATAAACATTAGGGTGCAGGTGCCCCTTGGAATCACTATGTTTGTATCCTTTGGGATAAATACCTAGTAGTGCAATTGCTGATATATCTACTTTTCAATCAGCTGTCATTGGAAGTGACAAAATGTAAGGTCAGAAGCACTGGAGTTAGTAATGCGCCCTTGTCTCATATGGCACGCTCAGAGGGATGATACTTGGGTTTGATTTTTATTGCATGTCTTACATGAAGAGTAGAGCAGTTGTCCCAAACAGGCAGAAGTGGTTTCATCTTTCCATTCTTTGCATGTGTTTTCACTCGTGTGCACTTTTGCCATTTACATCCCCTCTTATAGCACCATGGCTTCTCTTTTCTTTCTTGCAGATGGATGGTTTCTAGCCTGCTTCCAAACCCCACCTCAGCTGAGTGTTGGGCAGCCCTTCTACATGATCCTATGACTCTTGATATGGACGCAGTCCTGTCAGACTTTGTTCGGTCCACAGGGGCAGAACCTGGTCTGGCCAGAGACCTGCTGGAAGGTAAGCTGGCCTTGTCATCCTCACGCCATGCTCCTGAGCATAGCTACTTTCCAACTGGTGGCAAAAGATAAGAAGATTTTTGTTACCTGGCAGTGGTGGTACTGGACTTATTAAAAGTAAAGGGGGAAAAAAGATGTTGATGATGAAATGATTTTTGTTATTCGACACCTAGGTATTTCTTATCTCTATCTTGGCTGAGTCAAAAATACTTTAGGTCAAAGGTTTCATCAAAGAAAAACCACCTAGTAGCCAGTAAATAGTTGGTACTAATTCATACACAACAAGACAGAATTCCTCCTTAAACCTTAAGTGTAGATATCATTTGTTACATGGAAAATGTACAGTTTGTGTCTCAGAATCTAAAATGGATTTACTTTGCATATTTTTAAAATCTTTTGTGCGTGTGTGTGTGTGTGTGTTTGTGTGTGTGTGGTGGGGTAAAACTAAGATGTGGGAAGAGCCTATCATAACTTCTCAGAACAAACAAAACTGTGAGAGAATTTTTAAATGATTTCTCTTGGCTTCAAATATAGAAACTGCTGTTTATGGAATTAACTAATACTTGGTTAAGTATTATAAGTCATGATTATCCCGTAATTCACTTAGGAAACAATATGGATTACTACACATTTGTATGAATGCTAGAGGTGACTACTACTCAAATCCCATTGAAAATTAAGAACCAGCTCAGGACACCTGGGTGGTTTAGTGGTTGAATGTCTCCCTTTAGCTCAGGTCGTGATCCTGGGGTCCTGGGATCAGATCCTGCATCAGACTCCCTGCAGAAAGCCTGCTTCTCCCTCTGCCTATGTCTCTGCCTCTCTCTGTGTATCTCATGAATAAATAAATAAAATTTAAAAAAAAAAAGGAAAAGAGGGATGCCAGGGTGGCTCAGTGGTTGAGCATCTGCCTTTGGCTCAGGCTGTGATCCTGGAGTCCCGGTATCGAGTCCCACATCGGGCTCCCTGCGTGGAGCCTGCTTCTCCCTCTGCCTGTGTCTCTGCCTCTCTCTCTCTCTCTCTCTCTCTCTCTCTCTCTCTCTTTCTCTGTGTGTGTGTGTCTCATGAATAAATAAATAAAATCTTTCAAAAAAAAAAAAAAAGAAACTGTGATGTCAAATGCTTGGTGGAGTAACCCGCATGTATGTAGCGGAGGTTCCAAAAGCAATCGACAAAGATCCTGTTTGTCTCTGCAGTCTTTGTAACTGGCTGGCACTGACATTGCTCTGAATATCTAGATAGCCTTAAGGAAGGAATGAGACTTGTCAGCTCTTTTCTTCCTTAATTTTATTTTTTAAATGAAAATACCAAAAAAATTGACCTTTGGGGGTATAGTTCTAAGAATGATGCATAGATTTATGTTATTACTATCACTCTCAGACACAGAACCATCTCATCCTCACACCCCATCCCAGTTCACCCTCCTGCCCTGTTGATCCTCAGGCCCCCTCCCACCCTGTCTGCTGGCAGCCACTACTCTGTCTCCTGTCACATTAGCTTTTTCTCTTTCAAGAATGTCATATAAATGGAGTCATGCAGCACCTAACCATTTGAAACTGACTTCTGTTCACTTAGCATAATTATTTTGAGACTCATTCAAATTGTGCATGTCAACAGTTTGTGCATTTTTTAAAATTTTTTATTTATTTATTCATGAGAGTAACAGAGAACAAGAGAGACGGAGAAGCAGGCTTCATGCAGGGAGCCTGATGTGGGATTCTATGTGGAACCCCAGGATCAGGCCTGACGGTGGCGCTAAACCACTGAGCCACCCAGGCTGCCCGAGTTTGTGCTTTTTTATCGTTAGAGATGGACCACAGTTTGTTTATCCAGTTACCTGTGCAAGGGCATATCAGTTGCTTCTAATTGGGGGCAGTTATGATGAGAGATGCACTCAAATGTTTACTTGTGAACAGGGGTTTTTGTGAACATAGTTTAATTTTTTCCATGTGTGTACACATAGGAGTGGGATTTGCTGGTTTATATTGGTAACTATACATTTAGCATTACAAGAAACTGCCAAACTGTTTTCCTGAGGGCTGAACCATTTTGCATTTCCACCAGCAATGTATGAGAGTTCCAGGTGCTCTACATTCCCACCAGCACTTGGTATTTCTTTTCTTTTTTTATTATTTTCTCCATTCTTATAGGCGTGGAATGGTATTTTTCCATCATTTTGGTTTTCGTTTCCACACTGACTAATGCTGTTAAATGTTTTGTTATTATTCTCCATCTGTATCTTCTCTTTGGTTAAATGTTCATTCAATTCTTTTACCTATTTCTAAATGGAGTTATTTGACATCTTATAGTAGAATTATGAGTTTTTTATATATTCTGAAGGTAAATCATTTATCAGAGATATGATCTGCAAATATTCTCTGATCTGTGCTTGACTTTTTAACCTCTTGCTGGTACCCTTTGCAGAGCAAAAGTATTTAATCTTGATGAAGTCCAGTTTATCTTTTTTTTTTCTTGCATGGATCATGTTTCAGGTGACATATCTAAGAGCCTTTGTGTGACCCCAGGTGATGAAGATTTTCTCCTAGGTGGTCTCTTAAAAGTTGTATACTTTAGATCTCTGACTCATTTTGAGTGGACATTTGTATAACATGTAAGATCTGGGCCAAGGTTCATTTGTATACATGTGGGAGTCAAATTGTTTCAGCATCATTTGTTGAAAAGATTATCCTTCCTCCACTGAATTGCCTTTGTGCATTTGTCAAAAACCAAACCAACTAAACATATCTGTGGGAAGCTACTTCTTGATGTTGATTCTGTTCAATTGATCAATATGTCTATTCCTCTGCCAGTACTCCTTGATTAGTATAGCTTTGTGGTGAGTCTTAGAATCAGCATGATTCTTCCAATCTTATTTTTCTTTTTGAAAAGTGTTTCAACTATTCTATTTCCTTTGCCTTTCCATATAAATTTGAGGATCAGCTTATGTGTCTATATAAAATTTCCTGCTGGGATTTTGATTGGAATTATGTTAAATCTGTAAATCAATCCTGTGTTTTGCCTTATAATCCATGAAGTCAGTATAGCCTTACTTTCCACTTCTGTAGGACGTCTTTGAATTCTTTCATCAGCATTTTGCAGCGTAGATCATATACATGTGGGGTAGATTTCTATATAGGGGTATTGTGAGCTATTGAAAGCCTAATGTAAATTTCAGTTTCTAATTGTTCATTTTTCATTGTTGTTCATTGAGAAATATAATTGATTTTGTGTGCTGCCCTTATATCCTACAATCTCGCTAAACTCAATTATTTGTTCTAAGGTATATGTGTATATGCTCGTACATGGGTACACATGCGTGTGTGTGTCTATTCCTTTGGATTTTCTTTTTTTTTTTATTATTTATGATAGTCACACAGAGAGAGAGAGAGAGAGGCAGAGACACAGGCAGAGGGAGAAGCAGGCTCCATGCCCCGGGAGCCCGATGTGGGATTCGATCCCGGGTCTCCAGGATCGCGCCCTGGGCCAAAGGCAGGCGCCAAACCGCTGTGCCACCCAGGGATCCCTCCTTTGGATTTTCTACATAGATAGTTATGTTGTCTCTGAATAGATATAGTTTTATTTCTTCTTTCCAATGCATATGCCTTTTATTTATTTTTCTTGACTTATCGCACCAGCTAGGACTTCCAATAGGAGGTTGGATGGTAGTGGTGAAAGAGCATCCTTGCCTTGTTCTTAGGGTAGAAGCAGCCCCCCCCCCGCCCCAGTCTTTCACCATTATATAGAATAGCAGTAGGTTTTTGTAGATATTCTTTATAAGGTGGAGGAAAGTTCTTTCAGTTTCTAGTTTGCTGAGAGTTTTATCATGAATATATATTAAGTTTTTCAAATGCCTTTCCAGAAAATGTCACTTGATATGATCAGTTGTTTTTTTTTTCCTTCTTTAAACTGCCAGTAAAACACATTATATGATTGCCTTCTGATAATAAACTGAGCTGTCAGCCATTATTTAAAGACTTTTCTACTCCATGTTTTTCTCTTTTCCTTCTGGGACTCAGATGGTATGAGTCTAAGAATTTATTGTTGTCCTCAAATCACAACAGTTCTTTTTTTTTTAAGATTTATTTCTTTTACAGAGAGAAGAGGGGGAGGGGTAGAGGGAGAGAGAAAGCTTAAGCAGACTGCATGGAGCATGGACCCCGACATGGGGCTCAATCTCACAACCCTGAGATTACGACCTGAGCTAAAACCAAGAGTCGGACACTTAACCAACTGTGCCACCCAGGTACCCTGTGATCATTACAGTTCTATTCACTTTATTCCTCAATCTTTTATCACCTATTCTAACTAGATCATTTCTATTGATCTATTTATAAATTTACTACTTATGGCTTCCTCTGTCACCCCTATTCTGTTGCTGAACCCATCCAGTGAGTTTATTATTTTTGTTGCTGAAATTTTTTTTATTTCTAACATTTCCACTTGATTATTTTTTTCCTTTTCTTTGCTGAGACTCTGTATTTTTCAAGACTATACTCTTCTGTTGTAAAATACTTATAATAACTGCTCTGAAGTCTTTGTCAAATAATTCCAGTATCAGTTTCATCTCAATATTGCTAGTAAGATGTCTGGTTGGGGGGCAGGGCTGTTTGATTTTTGTATGCTGAATAAATTTGGATTGTATCCTAGACAATTTAGAGATTATATTCTGAGACTGTGGCTGTTGTTTAAACTTATGGCACATGGTATTTTTGTTTTAGAACTGCCCCAGCTGGGTTCAGACCAGAAGTTCCAAGTTCCCCAAGACTTTTCTGCGTTGTGGTTCCAAGGTCAACTCAATTTGGATCTGTCTCACTAGTGGCCAGTCTGGGACCCAGACAGTAGTCTGTCTCATATTTCACTACTCAAAGCTTCTGGAATCTGTGTAAAGTCAGATTCATACATGTACAGCTCAGGGATAAGCCCAAGAGTTTATAAACAACTTTAAAGGATTGCTGTCTCAAACTCCTGCTTCACTGTAATCTCCTCAATAGTTCTGAGTCC